GCGTGAAGCGTCCGCGCATTCTCGCTGAAAATCATGCTCTCGCGTGGAGCGTCCGCGCATTCCGGTTGAAAATCACGCTCTCGCGTGGAGCCTCCTCGCATTCTTACTGGGAATGATTTGGAGGCCGGCCGAACCGGTGAATCTGCGGGCCGACATGCAGGGGTGGCGGCCCGAGATGCAAAATTTTTGCATCTCGAACAGTCCCTTTGCATCTCGGACAGCGAAACCTGCATGTCGGCCAGCCCTATTCCCGGTCAGGTGACCACACATATGCCTAAGCCGCCACGACCGTTCACGCTGACAAAGCTGTTCGGATCCGGCATCATGTTCAGGTCCCGTCTGCGGAGGGCACCAATCCAGAGACGAAGCAAGATGAAAAAGAGCCTGAGAGGGCCAGGCCCTTAAGACGGTGGATTGACATTTGCAGCAATCACTACTTTTATTACTACCATTATTACGGTCATTTCTATTATCATTAGTATTACTGTTACTACTACTGCTATTATGCGTACTATTCTTATTACTCCCTAAACCCTAGACCCTAAACCCTAGACTCAGGTGCTGGTTTTAAAGCCTGAGCTCTGGGACGACTCCACTGATGTCGAGGATTTGCGGTGCTGCATTCCAAATCATATGGGTTTGCGGTTTAGGGTTTCTTGTAGCATGCTATACGAATCAGATGCCATGATAATTTATTGTAGGATACTATAATAGCGTATTGTGATGCAGATGACTTTCATATTGCAATATACTGTAAAATCTCATAATACGCTTGAATATACACTATGCTACATTGTAGGTTTGTATGGATCTGTCTACGGGCCATGTCATGGTTGATCCGTCCTGTCGTCATGCATCAGAATGGGGGTCTCCTGTAATAAGGGGTACCTTTTTTGGGGTCCCTACAATAAGGACTTGTATCTTGGGGTCTATATTGAGGTCCCCCTATTTAGGGAAAATCCCGAATTAGGACGTACGTAGAGAGGGAAGAGAGACCTGCGCTGCTGCAAAGTCCTGCTTATCCCGAGGAGGCAGCCTCAAAGGTCGGGGGCTGAGGATTTTGACTACCATCATGATTATCACTGCTATTATTACTACTGCTACCGTTATTGCTAGTACAATTATTTTTGTTACTACTATTTTATATGTTTTCGTAGTTAGTTGCCAGCTCGGGGCCCGACGGTACCAACCTTCTTCAGCAGCAGCTGGTCCGACACAGTTGTCAGTGGCCAAAGATGATGGTAGCAGGTGCTTGCTTGAACTATAGTCTAAATTCCTTAAAGGCGGTCATATAGGAGATGAGGGAATACCAAGAAGGATGCTAGGAGTTTAGGCACTAGCTCACTTCAAGCCGATATTTCTGTACTTTGAGCCAAGCAGCCTTAGACTGCTCCAGAAGAGCAGTCTTAGGAAATCTTCACACGCCCATGTTCTGGTGAGCGGGTTTAGGCTTTACACAGAGAATTGCACGCAGGAATGAGGCATAGGAGTCTGTTGTCTGAGCATCAAGGTTTCTACGCCGAATGAGGAGGGTGCTTCACAGACGGAGCGGAACCTGCTTTTGCACCAGCTTGGTGATGGCCTCAGCTGACGCAGCATTCTGCGGCCTGAGTATGTGTCAGAGTGTGTGTGTGTGTGTGCATGGAATGGCTTGTAATTACGCTCGACCGTGCACATGAAGATACTACACAAACAAATGGTCGGGATCAAGGCACATGTCGACCGTGCTCTTATTACTACTTCAAGGAGGAGATGCATGGATAGCATGCTCACATCTTGCTGCATGGGCGGTTGAGTCATGCGTCGCTTGCAGGACGGATGTCGAAATGGTGACGACTGCGAGTTTTGCCACTTCTGTTCTCCTGCAGCTGTCAAAGAGAGTAGCTGGGCATGATGCGACATGGTTCTGGGGTCTCAGTATTACAGCAGTTCTTCCGGCCGCTATGTTACGTAACAATAGTAGGTTCATAATGGTAAGAATTGTAATATTGGCAATAGCGACACTGGTAGTCATAACAACTAATGCCGAGAGCAACGCGAAGAAAATGTCAATGCTGTGAGGCAAACGACGCTTCAAGCGCGATGCGCGCAGGGAGACGCCCTGCGGCAAGTCTGTTACAAGCTCATAAATGGAAGTTTTCCAAAACTAGGGCTGCCCTCTTAGGGAGCCCCTTACTAAAGACTCTAGTATTTTGGGTCTACATTGGGGTCCCCGTTGTTTTGGAAACTGCCAAACATCGATCCGCCAAAGTTTGGATAACATGAGCGATAGGTTAGGTTACGTAGGGTTGAACACTTAAGTCTTGACGTCGGAATGTGGGCTTTTTTTGCTATGCGTTAAGTGGACCCCCCAACCCTATGAATAGGACCCCCATATAGTCACCATTATGCTTTGTAGTCTTATAGTCGCTATTAAAGGGTAGGAGGTCCACCTACGGCACGCCGAGCTCCAGACTAATTAATTGTACAAACAAGTTTTCGCAGAAGCCAATGTGCAAAAAAGTTTTCGAAGAGCAGGGTTTAGGGTTTAGGGTACATTTTCTATCCTGTTCCATAAGACTATAGAACAAGAATCCTGATCATTGGAGGCCCCCCAAAACGGCCCCTTTGGAAGACCTCTCAAGTCAGGCCAAAAGGGTACTATTGGGGTCATATAGGAATCATAGGGGTTATATTGGGATAATGAAAAAGAAAATGAAAACTACAGGGATTATGGGGCATATATTGGGGTTCCATTGGGGATAATGGAAAAGAACATGGAAACTACAGGGATTATGGGGCATATATTGGGGTTATATAGGGATAATGGAACAGAGAATGGAAACTACCCCTCTGTATGCCCTATAATCCTTATATAACCCTGTATAACCAATCTCTAAACCCTAAACCCTGGAAACTAAAAAAATACACTCCCCCAAACTAACTTTTAGAAGGAACTGTAGTCTATATAGGGCCCTTTTTTGGGGTTTCCATGTTAGTTTCCGGGAGTGTATGGGGGTAACCTGTCCAGGAAGCGTGCCGCTCATTTGGAAGCAGCCCGAGAAGCCGCCCAAGAAAAGGCGTGTGCAGAAACCTTTCCCTATTAGAGATTAGGGTTTAGAGTTTAGAGTTTAGGGTTCAGGGTATAGGGTTTGGGTTCTTATTGAATATAGGGAATAGGGTACCCAATAATGGAGAATCAAATGGAAAAGAAAATGGACAATGAAATGGAAACTGGTGTTATTATGGTGTGTATATATATATATGTTTATAAACAACATTGTACAGTTTTATATATACGTGGGCCCAAGAGAGATGAACAATGAACAGTTTAAATAGTATTTCCACAAGAGCCCAGGTGGTAAGTGTGATGTTTTGGGGGCAGGGGCCGGGCAGGGGGTGAGCTGGGTAACAGACAGTTTCCATTTTCTTTTTCATTATTCCAATATAACCCCTATATAGTCCCTATAATTCCTATATGACTCCAAGACAGGTGTGTGAGTTTGTCAGATTTTCTGGGCCCGCGTTGCCTTGTTGCCATCCTTTTCACAGTAGGACTTCAGGGACTTAGCTCCTAATTTGCACCCCAAACCCTAAGCCCCATTATATTGGGATTATATTGGGGTATATTAGAACTATGTTGGGGAATATTAGGGTTACCCTTAAACCCTCTAAGCCCTACCACGAAACCCTGACCCTAAACCCTAAACCCTAAATGCTACAACAGGGATCCGAGCCTCTTGGTCCCCCTTACCTTCGGCCCGCGCCTCAGTACCAGGGCAAAATCTACCACTAGCTGAATTGGGGATATCATGATGGGGTCCCCAGAATAAGGAGTACAAGATTTTGGTGTCCTACTTTCGGATATGCCCCATAGAACCCAATATATAGTAGCTTACATGTTTTTTCCATTTCCTTTTCCATTTGATTCTCCATGATAACATTGAGAATGTTTGCATTGTATTTTCCATAATCCCTAGATAGCCCTATATAACCCCTATAGAACCCTTATATAACCCCTATATAGCCCTCATATGACCACTATATAACCCTCATATAACCCCATGATTGGAAAGTTTCCCATAGACCTGAGGCGCATGCGCGGCGGCCGAGGAAGGCGAGTCGTGGGTGTAGGGTTAGGGGTTTAGGGTTTAGGGTTTAGGTTTAGGGTTTAGGGTTTAGGGGTTTAGGGTTTAGGGTTTCAGGGCTTAAAGGACGGGGGGGGGGGCGAACCATCAGTACTGACACAGACCCATGATTAATAAACCCCATCCCTTTTAATAGGGATTATCATAGGGATCCTACTATTTAAAAGGAGGGTTTATTGTTCATGGGTCTACATTACAATGTGGGTTGTTTATGAAAACTTATAGTGGTGTTTAGGGCTTGGGGTAACTGGTTGTTGTTAAAGACACCCCATATGTCCTAGTATCCCTCTTAATTACCAGTACAATAATCCCCTATATAATCCCCTATGTAGCCCCCTTTCAGGAGTTTAGACTCCAAACCCTAAATCCTA